CCCCGCCCCCCCTTGCCAACATCCTCCCCGGGTGTGACTGCCACGGCTGAACAACATGAGAGAAAAGCGCAATGACACTCAGCTCCGATGCAAATGGGCAAATGGAGCTCTTATGCATTATTGGACTTCCAGTACAAATCAACTCCCCCTCCCCTGTATCACTTCTTGGCTAAATCGTTCATGGCCCATCTGGACGCTAATTCCTCTGCGCTGCCCACGTCCAGGGTCTTCTATCCATACAGACACCCGCGTCTGCAGTCCACCGACATCCTTTTCTTGCAATCAATGAAGCAATCCAATGCACCACTCGTCCGCACAGGATCCTTCCAGTTTTGCTCCACCGACCCATCCCACTCTGGTGCACTCCACCCTCGTTGAACCGACGAGAACAGAAGCACATTACTTTCTCAGAACACCGACATGGCCTTCCTTTACCCGTTCCAGGTTTACTGCAGAAGCTACTTGTTGTACTCGCTAAGCTAGAGCTGCAGTTTATATGTGGTGCCCTTCCATGCATGCGCGTCACTCTTTCCCTGAGATTAACGCTCAAGGACAAAAAAGCCACAAGCCTCTCATTGACGCTTGCATGCACGAGGGAGGATTCTTATGGAAAGATCACAAGATCACAGGGAGAAGGAAAGCGCCTTCACAACCCCCTCTACAGCCCCATCGACACCTCCGCTCTTACCATCAAACGACGCTGCACAGACTGAATCTCCGCCCACAGCACCTCCATTGCACGCAAATCCTTTGCATTCCCTGGCCCGATGGATCATCACTCTCCTTCCTCTTTTCCCAAGTCCTTCTCGAGCACCCACGTACTGTTATCTGCAATTCCAATTCGACAGCACCCAGGCCAGACAACACCTCACTCTCTCCTCCAGTCACTGCCATCAGACGCTCCAGGTAACCACCAACACGACCGACCAGTCAACAATAGAACTCCGCTTTGAACCCAACCCCCCCTCCAAATGTGGACCTCGATCCTCGTCCGGCTGTGACTGCAACTGTTTTTTCACTCCATTGCTTGGCATGGCAAACACGCACCTTCATCTTTAACATCGAGTGATACTACTGTGCAGCATGAGCCCCAAGGCCGAGTCTCACAAAATATCGAGAACCTCGGGGGTCAAACAAGCGAGCAAAGCGCAATACCTACCTGGCCACCTTTCATCGATCTCGCCCTTTAGGGCCACCAGATTTCCGTGAACCTCCTGCATTCATATCCTCCTCCAGGAAGCCCTCAACAATGCCGCAAGATTGGTCCACTCACCAGCACGGCCTGCCATGATAACGACCTACCCTAGTCTATTCTACAAGTCTATTCTACAAGTCTATTCTACAAGTCTATTCTACAATTGATCTGATCGATGATCACAGCCACGTGGCACACGTATCTTCCCCTCAGAACCTTCCTGATGCTCCACATTAACAACTACTAGCTGCAAGATCGACGGACTAACAAAAAACAACAAAGGAGGCCCGCTGCCATGTGTACTACAATCACTAAGGGAGTGGAAAGGACACCAAACGGCTTCAGCTATATTTAGCTCGATGCCTCCACTGACGCTCAGCAGCACTCCCTTCCTCGCTTACTGCCGATCCATCTCATGAAAACATGATTCTTTCTTCGGGCCACTCCTGACCAAACACTCTCCTAACACGAGCATTTATCACTGCAAATGATATCCGATATCTGATGTAGATTAATACATTCCTGAGGTAGAAAAATAGCAGACTGACCGATGCCAGCCAGAGTCCTGATACGTAGCCGATACAAAGATTGCCATCGAAAAAACGCAGCAAACTGACTGATGCCAGTCAGAGTCGTGATACGTAGCGAATACAACGACTGCAATTCCGAAAGCCAAAAATTTGCATCCCTCGCTGACAATCCGTCGGACAGCACACAGACGGCAGCACTTGCGTCCCTTCTGTCTGCTATCCGTCTCCTAGGCGACCTCCTCCTACCGGCCAAATCATCAGCCATTGCACCTCCCTCCCTCCCTGCAAACGGCTTCCATGACAGAAAGTCGATCCCAAGCCAGTTCAGCTACGCATGTAGACCTCAGCGCTACTTACTTCTCCATGAGGTCAGCGATGCATAGACCTGATCAAAACTTGTCCCACCAAAGATCTCACAAAAACCCAGGCCGTCAACGGCGACTGCAGCAGGCCCAGAAATCCGCAGGTTCCTTTCCTTCTTCAACCACCTGTTCAATCCCATTCCAGGCACACCCAAGGACGAGCCACCCCACAACCAGAAAGAGCAACCAAACCAAAGCAAGAGGAAAATGTCATGTTCTGCAATCCTCTCAAAAACAGCGACAGACGGGCCAGAGAAAAGGCCTGCAGGGACTACGTGCACGGAGACGGCAAAACAGAAAGAAAGCCCTTCAGACTGGGGAGCGAAAAGACACCAACCAACCAAGACAGGCAGCAGCGGACTTGCAAGATGACAGGTGAAAAAAGCAAGCAATCCTAAACTTCACCCGAATAGAACGCCCAGTCATTATCACTGGATCTAGACTGAACGTTGACCCAAACACAACCACAATGACCGAACGTTCTATTCGGAGAAAGCCGGCGGCCATTACCCAGACATCGGATCGAGATACAGAAGACGGAACTGGAAGTCTGGAACCCATGCTCAATCAACTCAATGAACCCATCGAAGAGGGACCCAGTTAACAAAGTCATGGACACAGTCACGGGACAAGAGCACCCCCCTTTCCCACTCCCTGCACAGCCCTTTCCAGTGCCACATGTCCCTTGATTTCTGCCCTCTCCGTTTCTTCTTCCTTCGTCTCGCTCTTTCTCTTTCCCTGATCCTCCCCATCCCCTCTTGCCTCTCTTTCCCTCCAGCCTCTTCTCTTCTCTTTCTTCCGTTCCCCCCAGTACCTGTTCCCATCTAGCTGTCCCGTTCCCTGACCTCTTCCCCCCACCTGCTTTCCCCCCTCCTTTTCCCCTCTGCCTCCTACATTGCCGCGTTCTTCACTTCCCCCGTCTGCCTTTCCCTTACCTTCCTGCTCACTTGGCGAACCACTTCAGAGCAGCAGCACTCCTATGATCATCTACAGCAGCTCTCTCTCTCTCTCTCTCTCTCTCTCTCTCTCTCTCTCTCTCTCTCTCNCCCCCCGTACCGAAGGATCTCTGTGTATCATTATCAACCTCAGCGCTTCCAGCCGTCTGCCTCCCCGTAGCTGCCTTTGCATCCACTACCCTCCCTCTCTCGTCCTTCCTCCATTTACTCCCCCCCCCTCGCTCATACTAGCTCGACCCTCCCATCGTTTCCTCCATCGATCTCATACTACCCCACGGCACACCATCCGGTTCGCTCTCATTATCTCCACTGCCCGACCGTTTCACCTCTCGCTTCCCACTCTTCCTCCTTCCCTCCCACTCTCCACCGACTTCGTCTGCGTATCACCTTGCCGTTTCATTAGATCCATTCCATCACGCAAAAGTCAAACCAGGTCATACCATTCCCTTTTGTTTCCCCCCTCCCCCGTCCCCTCTCTCTTCCTGCATTCTCTTCATTTCTTTCTCACCAGAAACCACCTACCTGCCTATCTGTCAAATCCACATAACTATCAAGCAAGCATACCCATTTCGAACATCCAAACGTCTCGTTACCGTGCAAACATCCTTTTTTTTTTTTCTTTTTTTTTTTGAAACGACCCGAGTGAATGCTAGGGGTGCTGGCAAACATCCTATATATCCTAATACGTGAACAATTCGACCCGAGGCGTAAGAACAGACGATCATCGGCCATGACGTACCCGAATGCGAGTCTTTTGGGAAAGGCGACGCCATAGTCGGAACTGGTCACCCACTCGCCACCACCTCCGCTCCCAGGCTTGACTGCCTCGCTCCCGGCCGTCTTCTTTCTCCATGCATTGACGCTCTTCAATTTCGCTTCCACAGCGACACTCACCTCCCACCCATACCAGCAGCTCACTCCTCTCTCCTTCATCACCTGCTTCTCGTGCCTTGGGAATCCACAGAACGAACACTTTTTGGGACTGCAGATCATCAGCGTCAAAGACATGAAGCTCCTCTCTCGACGGCCACTCAAATAACCGTGGTACTTCGCCGTTCTCGGCACAACAAGCGCCATTGTCTTCTCCCGGCCTCGATCCCACCGTTGCTTCCACTGCCACCTCACCCCCGCTCAACCCCCCCCTTACACATTCCTTCGTCGCCAATTGACGCATGGGCAGAGTTTCCACCACCAATGCCGCTCGTGCCTGAGGCATCTGGCCTGATGACTCTCGTCGGCCAGCCTCATCCTCCCCCTCCCCCTCCCCCTCCCCCTCCCCCTCCTCCCCCCCCCCCCTGTGATGCCCTACTACTCCTGAGCTGCTGTCCGAATCTACCATAGCGATGTCAGAATCTTCTTTGGATCTTCTCTGCGACATTGTGGGCGAATCCGGTTCTCCACCGCACGCCCTCCTCAAAGCCTTCACGCCGTTCTCTCTCTCTTGCTCCCTTCTCTCCGCGCGTTTTCCCCTGCCCATCCCGCCACCCGCACAAGGGTCAGAAGAAGTGCAACTCCCCTGCTCCTCTCCCTCGATCGGCACAGAGTCGCACGAAACCGCCCGACGCATTGCTGACGTCTCCTCCTCCTCCTGGATACTCATGCCGCCTCCACCTCTGTCCACGCCCTCGCTACAAGCACGTCCCTGCTCTCGTATGCGCTCATAGTTTCTTTCCGCTGCGCTCTTCAGAGGAGACAGACCATGATTGTCATTTTGCAAGGACTCCTGGGCACAACTGTACACGGAACTATCATTCCAACCCCTTCGCATCGGGCCAGCCTTGGCCACCCCTCCACTGCCATGCCCGCTGGTTCGGGCTTTACCAACCGCATTGTAATCAGCGTCATAAGCCGAGACCCGGATCCCGGTGCCCGCGATCCCAACTCCTCCGTCCGAAGAGGAGACTGACATCGACGTCAAGGCCGCCGATGATGATGCAACACTCAGAGCAGCCCAGAACTCCGAGCTCTCCTCCCCTTCCTTGACAAACCAGATGGGTCCAGCCACCTTTTCATATTTAATCAGCTGCTTTGCTGCCTTCTCTCCCGCGCTGGCAAGCACGCAGGAGCATTCCCGACCCTTCCAAACGAAGACACCAGTTGGGGCAAGCAGCAAGAAAGCCCCACGAGTGTCCAGGGAGTCCCTGCAAGGCTTCGGGACAGGCTTGTGGACCAGATGCAGAGGGTCGTAGTGAGAATGAGGAGTGACTCGAAACAACCGCTGCACCCCTCCCGCTCCCGCTCCCCCTCCACCTCCAAGAACTCGCCTCTGCCATTGAAGCAGCTGGCAGGCGAATCCCATGTTGGGGTTGGTCACTCCGCGAGCCGTCTTCACATCTCGGAAGGCGTCATCGTAGCTCCTCCCCTCTTTCCACATCAAGTAAGCGATCACCAGCGCCGTGGATCTGGAAACCCCCTGGCAGCAATGCACAAACACTCGCCCGCCGCTCTGCCTTACTCCCTCGAAGAAGTCAAACACATCGTAAAGGACGGACAGAATGTCCTCCCCTGGCGTGTCGTGAAGCCAGAGCGTCTTGTATTTGAGGTCACCAGCGAAGTACTCCGTACAAACGAATCCCACACAGTTGAGCACATGAGTGATTCCCGCCGCTCTCAGCGTCTCCCTGTTCCTGGCAACGACATCACTGCCCAGGTAGACATGATCCATCACACGCGAGCATTGCTTCTCATAAAAAGCCATCTTATCCCGCCGCATCTCCAGCTCCGACAGCTCGCCCCCAGCATCACAGTTGCTGCGAGCCAGCGCCCCGAGGTCTAGTTGAACGCTCGCCCGTACACCTACTACACCGCGAGCCAGTCCGCTGGCCTCCCGCCTCAGGGCAAGAGGTGACAGTGGGATGCGATAGCCGCCACCTCCCCCACCACCACCACCAGCTCCGCGATCCACATTGTTCCCCTCTGCCCACATCCTTGACCGAGGAGAAATCACCTCCAGCGTGGCCATCGAGGCCGGACGCATGATTAGCAGAGGGCGGAGCGGTGCCCTACCGTTCTGCCCGTTGGCACCCACCGTCATCTTGTCCCCACTCCCATTGGCACATAAGACCGCTCCATTCGCCAAGCTGGTCAGGCCCATCTTCACGCCGTTCTTCACTCCCACGGTCCCAAGGTTGCACTCTAATGGTCCCTTGTTATTGAGATCCCCGCCCCCAATTCCGTTCCATTCAGGCAACGACCTAACGGATTGGAGTCTTTCGGCATCGGATGCGGCTGCTCCCGGGGAGGCGACATTCAGGAGGCGGCCAGCGCTCACAGCTTTGGCGGGTGAAGAGAACCCCCCAACCCCCACTCCTGCCACCGCCTTCGGCACTGCCCTCGGATAAACCCCAAGAACGCCGTCGAAATCGATGGGCGGTGCAGCCGCCGCTCTAGGGGACAACAACGTCGCCGGGATGGTCATCTCGCTAAGGGATCGTCGGTGCTTGTGCTGCACCTCCGGGCCGCTGGCGGCCATCACCATCCTCCAACCGCCTTCTGCTCCCACAACTAAACCCTCTTCGTCCTCAACTCTCTCCCTCTTACGACTGCCACCACCACCTCCTCTGCCCCCTTCAAATGCAAGTAAACACATTCAAGCCGATCTTGACAGACCACTGCACTCACCGAAGATCGATTTCCCAATTCTCCACGCGAACAAATGAAGCAGACGGCCAAACCCCCACTGTCCCCCGTTCCACAACAAAACTCGCCTCTCCACCTCTCTCTCTCTCTCTCTCTCTCTCTCTCTCTCTCTCTCTCTCTCTCTCTCTCTCTCTCTCTCTCTCTCTCTCTCTCTC